TAACTTAAAAGGAAAAAAAATAGTTACACAACTGAATTAAATGTTATTAACTTGCCTAGCCTTGAATTTTACTGGTGTTAAAGAGATTCAACCACCACAAGCGTCTTCAACCAAAATATACCTAACCTATTTTATGCAAAATATATTAAGTATTGTAATTAATGGAAATAACTTCTGAAAATATATCAATTGATTTAAATTTAAATTTAAAAACTTCAAAGTTGAATTTTAAAATATTGAATATTAAAAACCCATATAATAATATGTAGTTTAATACATTATTGGTATGGAGTGTTAATATTTTAGTTTTATACTATAGTGACTTACTACACATACATCTACACAATATGCTTGCATGTCGTTAAAAAATTGCCTATTTCAACTTTAAAAAGTCAGAATATCTCCTAAAAGCTAAATTAGAAATATTATTTGCTTACATACTCATTTTATTAAAGAGTATTCTCAGAACCTACTTTTCATATTTATTAATACTTTCAAATATAGTATAAACATTTTGGATTTTTAGGATATAAATTATATTATCTAGAATAGAAATATATACATTTTTTTTTTCTAAGAAACAATTATTAAATTATTTTGTAGATGTTGTTTTATTAAGTAGAGATTTTAGAGATAAACATGAGGAAAATTTAAATTATATCAAACAGTTGACAATAAAATTACTAGAGGAATTGAAAAATTCTTAAATTTTTATAAAATATCACAATGAAAACATAGATACTTATCAGATTTTACCATTAAATAGCTTCCTCAAGTATTTACCTTAATCAGTACCAAATAATTAGTAAAATATTTTAAGCTTTTTTTTATAGATTTAAATTTGTAGAATAAGAATTTTTACTTCTGTACATATTCCTCAGTAATTAAATAACTTGTTTCCAGGTGTTTCCAAAAGAAAATTTTTTTAAATGTTGACACTCGACAGGTATTTTATAAGATAATTTTTTAAAATTTGATAATTACTTTAAAACAAATTTTCTAATGTGATCTTTTGTCTTTGCAAGTATTATGTCTTTTGTGTTTGGTGAATTCTTCAATACTTCAGTAAATGATAATACATTGGGTGCATCGCACAATATACTATTTGCTCCATATAACTCATGCATCATTGTATTCTGTTGTTCCTGTGTCGCATAAGTTGTATAAATCAAATCCATGATCTTAGAAGAGTTCTAAATAATCGCAAATTTCGAAATTAAAATATGTTTAACACCATATATTTGTTACAATTATACTTACAGTATGTAATGTAAATGTATAGATTTTTCCCTTGAGGGAATTGATTATGATTTTACGCTGTTCTGCATCACCTTGTTTCAACATATTTTTAACACATAAGCATGCATACTTGGAAAGTAACATTTTTGGAACATGTTTTATAAGCTCATTTATGACTTGTGAACGAATTTCTGGTGTTCCTAGTTTCAGCATCCATTGGACTATACGGGCAGTGTCATGTGAAAAAACCATCTATAGAATCAAATATGAACATTTTATAAACCAGATATAGACATTTCAAAGGTATGAATCTTACTGTTTCTAAATGTGATTTAGAAAATTTAAAAAGTTCATTCAGTAAAGTTTCTTTTTTTTCCTTGGGACAATCATCGCGGCGCACAGTTTCCCAAAGTTTCTTAGCTTTCACAACAGCTTCATAAAATGGACATTTTTGTGTTTTACGTTTCAGCCGAAGCTCTTGTTTTTCTTTTTTAAACTCTTTCCAATTAGGTTTTTCAGTAGGCTTGTCATCTATAAAATATAATAATAATGCATTTAAAATTTTAAAATTAACATTAATTAAGTAATAATCAAAATATGCCCACCATTTGTAGTGTTAGATTTTCCTTTAGTTTTCTTAGATGCTTTATTTTCTTTCTCAGATTTTAGTACTGGTTTCTTGATGGCTTGAGTTTTTTTTTTTTCGGATTTTATTTTTCCAGGGTTTTCAGCAATATCTAGTTCTTCAAATCCAGATTCAACTGTTTCAGCATCTTCAGATGTTAATGACTTAGTATAGTCAATTGAATCTTCAGTATTTAGTATTTTTGGTTTTTTTTTGATACTGTTTTTAGTAGACGAAGTACGTTTCATTGTCATTTTTTTAAAAACAAAACACTAAAGGCTGAAAAATAATTAAAAATTCATTAATTAAATCTTAAAAGGTGAAAGAAATTGTATTTTTTCTCAATTTAATACAAAATATTTATTAATTAATACATAAAAATAAGAAACAAATTGAATTATAGTATAACACTCAAAATAATTTGTGTGAAAATGTAACCTATTTATTTTCTTAAAATTTTCAGACAAAAATCTTGAAAATGAAAAAAAAACGCCAAATTCCTAGCAAATATTTTGAAATTGATCATATATTAACTGTTAACTTACAGCGCTGCGCTCATCAAATACTTTATTGTTCCTGTATGTAAATGTTGTCGATAATTGATAAGAGATTAATAAATGTCAATCGGTATTAAACCTGAGGATCTTGGGAAAGGCATTTTATAGGTCAGCAATACTCAATCGACTGAATATTCATAATTAAAATTAAACTATAATGCCTAGCTCTACTATCTCTTAGTCAATGCTTTTCATAATGACTATTGTCTCCAAAATTACTAAACTAATCTTCATGAAACTTAAAATCTAAATTCTTTAATACCTAAAGAGATTAAAGAGATGCATAGATTAAGTTTGACATTTCTAGGTGCTGCCATTAATTAATTAAGATTAATCACTCATTATTTATATTATAATAACATCGACGATAACTCGACCATATTGAATCTTTTGTAATCGATATTTATATAGTCGTTATTGGTTACAGAAAAAAAAATAGTTATTCTTATGATTGGATGGTGTGTATATGTGTGTATATTTATTTTGTTTTGTTTCATAATTAACAGTACACTGAATGTTCAACTAATGACAAAATATGCCTAGAAGACGTTTGATTTTGATGAGTTGCAGCAATGTGGAACTTGTCACAAGAAAATTGATTAAGCTATAAATATAAATATTTTTTGGTGTTAAATTTTGTTTAAAACAAAATAAATTTTTCCTTTATATCTCCGACCAATTTTTGTCTACGGACATGCCTAGTTTGTAAACATTTATTTAAATAGTCAATATCAATGTTAGAATTTAGAAAATGGGTGAATTGCAAATGTCCATTATAAAATCGAATCATTATGTAATAAAAATAATAATATAAATATGCATGTATGTGTAGTATTATTGATCAAGCGGCTCAACCACATAATTAAGTTTTGATTTCACAATAAATACCAATTTTATAGTTATTAACAGGACGTCAGAGCACTGTTTGTTTTCTCTATCTGGCCCACGCGCAATGTACACAAAAGGCATTTATGCAGAATCATTTTTTTTATGTTTTTGAATAATCTTAGAGTAAAATCATCCATGATTAGTTTAAATATTGTCCCAAAACATTTTAAACATCATTTAAATTTACAATTTTTTATTTTTATTTTGAAAGTTGAATACAAAGTCAAATAGTAATAAAATATAAAACCGGTATGTCATACCCTCATAAATATTATCCTACATACTTTTTGTAATAAATTATTTTAAGTGAAAGCGTATTATCTATGTTGCGTGTGAGTCTGGGAAAGAAAACAAATTTTACATTGACATCTCCTTAATAATATAGTAGGTATGTTAAAATAAAATAGCTAACCATGTTTGCTAACTAATATTTTGGCAGCTATTTCAATAATGAATAAAATATTTGTATGTGTTTCATTAGGTTAAAGATTTCAGATTTAAGTATATAATAAGAATATAAGATCCAATTGTATTGTAACTGTAGGTAAAGATGATTAAAAATGTTTTTAAAACTATTTAGTTTTAGTAAATGAAATTTATTCCAAATACTCCAATTTGAACCGTGAGTCCAACTATTAAGGAATTTTTTTTAGAGGGCTAAAGTTAATAAAGTAATGAACCAAATCACAATCAAAATATTCGGAAAAGAAATAACTATTACAAATCAAGTTAAATTCACTATAGTTACTACTTCATGCTTTTAACATTTTTTAATTACTCATTGAAATAATTAAACATGTCAACAAAAGAAGTCACAACACAGACTTACTTTGTTGAAATGGAAGAGATTTTAATTAATTAGAATAATTTTATTTAAGCAACTAAAAATATACTATAGAAATTAATGGAAATGGGTTTGATAGAAGGCAAAAATAGTATTCATAGAAATTGTAAAAATATGTAATAGGTACAAAATCAAACATGTTTTGTTTTACTTAAAAACATATTTTATAACTTGAAACACCAAGATAATTAATGTAAGATTACTTGGATAGTTAGATGCTGTGTCAATTTTAACTACCATACAATATTTTATATTTAAAAAAAACGGACAATCAGCTACTGAATAGATTGGAATAGTTTGATGCTAAATGTACGATCAGCCCTGCTGTGCACACATTGAATGCAAAACTCAATCTCAAAATTATTCCAAACAAACATAGCCATTGATATGGAATTGCGTCTATATACTCTCGATGGTTAGGTCATACCTGTATATACTGTAAGTATAACAAATACAACCATGTTAAATTTGTAGAGCGTGAAGTCCATCAGAATTAAAAGTTATGAAATGAACACGTTCGGTACTTACCAGACAATCGATGTTGGAGTTTGGATGCGATCGTTTGAATAGGTGACCGATGAAAATAATTTCAACTCTTAAGTCACAACAGCGAGAGCAACGAAAATTGGTTTTCTCGTGAATCCGGAATCAACAATGCCGACCATGTGGATCGTGGATGCGGGTAAAATATTTATCACGGGCCACAGCGTGTTTTGTGAAGTTTTGTCGTTGTATGTATGTGTTTATCATAAGAACGGTCTGATAAGAACTCGTGATAACATTAATGATTATATGATAAATTATGATTCATTATTCCGACGACTACCTCGGATCGAGTTGGTCGCGGTTATACGTGGTCGAACTACGTTTGTCGATCACTGCACAAGTATTATTATTATTATTGTGCCCAATCAAATACGTCACTGAGCATAGCAAATAACCAACTCGTTATCATAGCAAAAGCATCGAGATATTACTACTCTTCATTTATTCCGGATTTGCGAGTCATAGAGCTTAGCCATTTTGTTATTTCCATTGTTATGTTACATGTCAACAATAATACAATTCTAATATAATATTTATAACAACGTACGACATCTTAAGAGTCAAACAACACTACCTCTTGTGGTGTTCGTTCAGTAAAAAAGATTTCGAGTAATCCATCGTTCAAGGTATGTTGAATTGAATTTTAAATAAGATTCATATGCCTTGTGAATGACAGCCATTATGTTAATTGTAAAGTTTGCTGTTTTGCATCTACGTCATAACCTCAGTAACTTCGCAATGAAATATAAGTAATTCAGGTATCCTTTATCATATATTTAAACCGTGTTGTCAATATAGCTATCCGAAATTGTTGATCCGATTTAGTCTAGAAGTTATAACCTTTGAAGTTTCTAGATTTATTTCGTTGTTTTAAGTCATAGGCCTATTATTACGAAGATTTTAAATGCCCCAGATCTCCACATGTCTTCACATGATGTGTGATGTACATCAGACAGAAAAATAATCTAGATTGTATTTGCGCACTACTTTAATGCATAATGAGAAAACTTACATTTTAGATAAACAAGTGACTTATCAGATGTTAGGCTGGTAGACGTTCTGAGTAATGCACAATACTGACGTTAATTAAATTGCCCATTGTTTTACTGATGTCTTTCAATGGTTAACAGAACCTATACCTAAATTGGTGTCGTGAAATTAATTGAAGAAATATAAGTTATTTATGATCTTTATTAACTTGATTCATAGTACCTAAATAAGTTTCAAAATGTATAACTAAATATTTAAATGTACATTTGAGTGTAGTGTAATAATATTAAAATGATGAAATATATTTATTAATCAAGTTCTAATATACAGTAAATATTTACAATGCCATAGATACATACTTGGTTCATTAAATTAAAAAAATATAAGCATATGGTAGTATAAATAGTTACTAAATGTAATGTTCATATATAATGTAGCATCTACCTAGGTATTTATTTGTATCATTTATGTTAATTTTTACTAGATGGAAGACAAAAAGAAATTGGCCTTGCTTATTGTGAACCATTTGAAAAGTCAATTAAGTCATGGTAACTTCAATGATGAATCATTGGAAAGTATGGAAGTAGCAGTTCAGTGCATCGAGTCAGCATATAATTTAAGCCCAACTGAATCTGATCGTGTTGACGCTAAGTTAGAAAGCATTGTGAAAGAATATTATCAAGTTAGAGAACAAAAGGTAAATAAGTAATAAGCATTATTATTATATATGAGATAAAATCAACATGCCGATTAATTGAAACATTTTCTTGCATTCAATTCATCACCACAATAGTATCTATATAATACCCAGTATTTAGATGAAAGTTTTATTTTGTTGATTATCGTAGGTATTAATTATATTAATTTGAATATTTTATTATTTTTATCAACTTTAATTTGTATTAGGTACCTATTTATATTTAATTTTTCATGTATGTTGATTGAAACAATGTTACTTTAATTTAGCCAAACATAAAGTCAGAAATAAGTCAAGCTCAAAAAGAAGAAGCTGAAAACCAAAAGAAATTTGGAAATGAGTTCATGAAAACTCAAAATAATGACAAAGCTATTGAAGCTTACACTAAGTATGTTATAATTAAAATTTAGAACTATTCAACTCCATGATTAATGCTTTAAAATGTTAAGTTTTTTATTAATAAGAAAAATGTTGAAACTTGAAATTATGATATTTATAAAAAAAAACCTGTAAAAAACATTGTTCATTTTTAATGATCTTATAGACACTTTTATGTACTATCTAATATATAACTATATACATTTTGTTTTAATTCAAGTTTTATTATAGTACATGCTTAACTTAATAATGAAATATAATTTACAAAATAAATTATCATTGAAATATTCTCATTACTGACCAATTCAAAAATGTCACTAAATAAACATTTTTTTTTTTATTTAATATATTAAAATGTCTCAGCATACAAGATGCTATTACAAGTATAAACATTATATAATTTTACAAAATATTATGTTGTGTTAGTTGAGTCGAATGGTAATTGATTATGTATAGATATTTTTAAATAATATAATGGGAAAAGGAAATGAGATAAGATATTATATAAGTTAATTAATTTTAGTATGGATTGTCTGGACGATAAGATTATGGAGTGCTATTAGCTGTGAGTGCATTTAGGACTGATGAAAGTAGGGAGATAAGGGGGCTAATTAGTTAGTTTAAATTTGATATTAATCTTGAGAGAGCGTCGGTGGTTTTGAGTTCCGAGTGTAGGTTTTGATGAGTTTTGGTGGCTTCAGCGTAGGATTTGGTTTTTTGATAGTTGTTAGTGTTGGTGTTGTTGGAATCAGGAATCTTGGCTGGTAATATAATATAATATTATGTATTAATTTATAAATATTGTTAAACTTTTTACTGTCAAAACTAATTAGATGTATACCAAGTTTACATAAATTAAAACTTTTATATTTGTAATTTTAATTTAAAAAATAAGAATTCATGACTTGTTAGCTGTTATGCAAATACAAGTATACTATTTAAAATAACAATTGTTGTGTATAATGTATAGTAAACCTTATATTTACCCATACAAATTTTAACACACATTTCTAATTATTTGCAATTTTGTTAATATTAATTTTAATTTCAGAGCGATCAAATTAAATCCACTCAATCCAATTTATTATTGCAACAGAGCTGCTGCCTTTAATGCTATCGGCAAGTACGTTAATGCAATTGAAGATTGCCAGAAGGCAATTGAACTTGACTCGTCATATTGCAAGGCATACTGTCGTTTAGGGTAATTATAATTATTTTAGTTTCTAATAATTAATTTTGGTTTATAAATAACATTTAGTAGAAATTAATGATTATGACAAAATATTAGAAACCACATCAAATTTTTTATTTTACTACAGTAGAAACCGTTTATAATGACACCGGTTGTAGTGACATATTTGGTGTAATGACCTTAGATTAAATGTCCCGGCAAAACTCCGATATTGCTGTACTAATTTGTATCGGTTATTATGACGTCTGTATAATGACTATACGGATGTTATGAAGGTTATTTTTGGTTATATTGGAAAAATATTTTATCTATAATGACTTTACTTTTAAATGAATATGTTAACTTTGATAATGATGTGCCAACTTTAGAACCATTAAGTGATCAAGAACATATTTCTTCATTGATTAATCAACCCGAAGAACCTGAGGAAGACGATAATAGTGATGAAGCTGATATTCCCGATGAAGATTTATCCATTAATGCAGCAAAAACGTTAGCGAATTATATGGCTCTGAATAACGTAAATCCAAAAATAAATGTTGATAAACTAGAAAAAACAATAGAGCGTGATTTTTATACTAACAAAGTTCAATCTAAAATTACAGATTTCTTTAAATAATAATTGAGCTAATTATTTTAAATATGTATGTACATAATTAAATGTTTTTATCTTTACTTTTTTCTATATAATACATTGGATAAATAAATAATAATAATAATATGTACTTATTGAAGTTACAATTTTTTTTCGTCATTTTGGTTATAATGACAATCGGTTAATATGACCTATTTTCTTTGGTCCCTTGAACGTTATAATGATAAACGGTTTCTACTGTATTTATATTGTTTTACATGTACCTAATATTATTAATAACACTTATACTTGTTAGGTTAATATTAAGGTAGTTAAATGCAATGGAAATTGGTGTCTGTTATTGTGTATCAACTGGAGAATCCATGGTTATTTATACTTAAAAATGCTATTTCACCTATTTGAAAAAATGTATCTCATGATTACATGTGTTATGTTATACTTTTTAGTTATAAAATGCTTTTTATAACATGTCAGTTTTATTTATAAGCTGGTAACTTAACCTTATTTTTGCTATTTTCACTTGTGCATAATACAGAATAATTAATAAATATAGGGCCAAAAATGAATAATTTTGATACTAACATTGTTTGATGACTGCTTACTCTGAATAGTTATTAAAATGTATAATTTGTTATTTATCACGGTAAATTGTAATAAAGAAAAGCGATATGACGACTATAGTAAATATGGTACTAACTACTATTATAATTAATAGTAAAATTTAAATAACCATTTAGATTTTTAATTTAGTATAATTTCAACTTTAAAAAAATGAATATTCATACACATAAAATTTTAATTGTTAAAATATTTATTTAAATTCATAGTAGAGATATATCATAAGGTTTCTGGTCATTACGTTTAATTGTATTACAGTAGTCATTTGATAATTCGAAATTCAGGGGACCGAGTTAAAAATTTGATTTATAGAGGTTTTCAATTTACCGAGTGTTCAAATAATCGAGGGAAAAAAATTAATTTGAATTAAAGAAAGGTGAAAAATTGAATGTATGTATTACGTTTATTTTGACATTTACTGATAAATAAAATTATGTTTTAAAATTATAAATTGATATTTATTTATTTATTTATTATACATATTATTAAAGAAATCTCTTATTCTTTTTTTTGTTGAGAAAAAATATTGGCCACAATCTGGTCTATAGCGTTGTGTAACTTACTGATAGCATTGAAAATAGTATGCACCTTTTTTTCGTTCATTTTTTAATGATACAATTAAAGTTTAGATTAGGTAGGTTAGAGACAATAACATTTATAAACTAAGATCATATTTAACCATCATCATTATTAGTTTCATTACGTGTACGTTAAATAGATTGACATAATCTTTATCCACATGAACTTACATATAATTGCGTTTAAAGAAATTCGAATTATAGAGATTCGTGGAAATAAAATTTGAATTCTACCAACAGACATTTTGAATTTTAGAGGGGACTGGAATACATGTATTTTTTCTAATTATAGAGGTTTTCTCAGGGGACTTAGCTTTTAGTTCGATTTATGGAGTTTTTCAAATTATCGAGTGACTACTGTATTTATTAAATACTTATTAAATGTGAAGAGTATCATGAGATATCAGAGTATAACTTATCATGTAATATTAAAATTGCTATGTAATTTTTTTTTTTTTTTGTTAAAAAATTAATCCTTTTATATGTATTTTGTGTTTCATTTTAATAGATTAGCTTTTTCATATCTGAAAGATTATCACAAAGCAGTGTCTTGCTACAAAAAAGCATGTGAATTAGATCCTGATAACCAGGGTTATCAACGGAACTATCAGCTTACATTGAATAACTTGCAAACCGTTTCCGGATCACCATTTCCACCACCACCATTTGGAGTACCATTTCCACCACCTCCACCACCAGCACAAATGTTACACGACCCTATCACAGCAACTCCAAATTTAATGGAAACCGCAGCACGTATCATGACTGATAATCCAGAAGTTTCATCAGTGTATGCAATCATTTTTTACTAGATTTATTTATATTATTAGCCAAATGACGATATTTAAAAATTGAAAACTATTAATATGCATTTTTTTTAGGTTAAACAACATTTTGGGAGATGTAACTAGTACTGGCAGTGATGGACTAGATAGATTGATGCAAGTGTGAGTATATTTTTAATTATTAATAATAAATGTGTATGCTTATTTTTACGATAATAGTGTATGTGTTGTACAAATATTTGGATTGAAATTATATTTTAAATATTAATGATAAATATATTTAAGTATATTTAAGTTATTGTATATTTAAGTTTTTAAAATGTATGTATTTATAATAATTATTTTGTTTTGTAGTGGACAAACTATTGTTACTCGACTACAAACTGCCAATCCCGATCTGTTAGATGGATTACGAATGCAATTTCAGAACGCTCAAAACGAAGGACAACCGCCACCACACAATGGATACCATGATGATGAACCTCAACATTAGTCTAACAAAATATAAGCCTTAATATCTCAAATATTTTCCTTATTCATAAACATTGATATCTATATAATTATTGATTACCTTTATAAAATTAATTAATTTAATCGGTGTTGTTAATAATCATTAGTAACTTAGAACTTGCCAAGTATATGTGCGGTTGGTGAATCAGGAGGTAATATTTGTTGTTGAGATATTTAAAATTAGAGTCACATATTTTCATACTACCACTTTGTTTCTTATCTCAAACCTTTAAATTCAATTAATATTGACTAGTCTTCTTTAATTTACAATAAAGTTATATTATATTTAATATATTCATGCACTTTTAGTGTGTGAACATTTCCTAAAAATACCAATCTAGGTGAAATCACCAACCATACATTTGTCTGGTAACGACAATAGTTCTTTGAAGTGCAGTATAAATTAAATTCTGCAATATTGGCCATTGTTTTCATAGTTAATGCAATCTAAATATGATTAAAAATTATGTTTGCATACTCTTTTTATATACATATTACAATATATAATCGTTTTTTTTTTCAATAGTGCCCTTTTCTTTGAATTATAAACTGTTTTCATTCCTTATCAAAATATGTCATCTTTCCCTACACCCCTTTAATAAATATTTAATTATTGATATGCCACATTTATATTTTGTTTGAACCCCAGTAACATTTAACACTTGTCTAGTGTCTAATGTTTATAATCCATTTTTAAATTCAGCTAAAATAATGTATAATATTATATAACAACGTTACAATATTGTAATGTATCATGACTCTAAAATCTATTTGGGTTGACTACTGTGAAAACGGTTCAATACATGGGTTGAGGCATGTTATCCAGAAAGACGAGAAACCACTTAATAGGTATCATACTGATGTGACTGATTTAATATTTAACTAATATTTGTGAGGGTTTAAAATTATTTAAAATTGTACATACAGATTTATGTGGATACTGTTGTTGATTGTCGCCAGCATAGCTATAGTGGTTTTGGTTTCGGCGTCTTGGGAGAAATATTCTTACTCTTCAATGGAAATTGCTGTTGATGACCCTCGTTATCCACTCACCAAGATTGATTTTCCTGCAGTTACTATTTGTCCCATCAGCAAAATCATATATTCAAAGGCTCTCAAATTAGTGCTCAAGTATATACAATTAATTTAGTTTGATTTTTCTAGAAATATGTAAAATAGAAATTATGTTTATCAAATTAAGGTGGATAATAGTTTATTTCAGCTGTTCAAATAAAACTGTAAATCAGGATTGTAGAAAAACTTTATATCAAAATCATTTAAATAGATGAAATTGTAAAGTGTATCTATTGGTTTGGAAAAAAAGGAGTCTCTAGTATAGTCTTATTTCTTCATATATCTAAAAATATCTTGATCATATCTGAATGATTATGGGTATGATTATAATATTAAGTTTAAAACATTTATCGCTTAACTCATATTTTAGTACTGCTACAGGACTACTAAATAATTTGATAAAATAGGTAGTTTATTTTATTTGTTTTCAGTAAACACCCCAGCGATTCTGACTTGAGAACTAGGTGGACAAATTCGTTGATGATACTTGCAAGGATACAATTCCCGCATAACACAAATCTATACTATATGCTCCAAAATGCATCTCTGGTCAATATACCCCTGGATGATATATCTGATATCATGTTAAAAGTAAAAAATGCTAAGTATAAAAGTTAATAATATGCATAATATATTTTGGTATGCAATTTTATATCATTGAATTCCAGTTTAAAACGTCCGTAACCTTGACTTCCTTCTCCAGTGTCAATATTCTGAAAATTAATTACAAAATGTTGCAAATTGATATTGACAAAATATCAAAAATAACAATACAATTATCGTGTGTTTGTGTAACCAGCTACTCCCCCGTGACCGATATCACTATGTATACTGATTACCAAGTGGTGACGACAAAAAATATCTTAAAATATAAATCATATTTTCCTCTCCGAATTTTTTTTTATCGTTCACCCTTGAGGGGGTAGGTAAAAAACGAACATAGTTTAAAGATACTACTTGGATACTTCTGTCGTGTTCTTTTCGTATACAAGTGACTATGTGAGTCTCAATAATGTTGGAACATTTCGCACAGGCTCAGAAAAACGATTATAAATTACATTTTACTCTTTTATGATTTGATTATGATATTATGATCCTTCATACATTTTCTTAAATCGTGACTAGTTGAAGCTTTGCCCTGCCCCCCCCCCTCTTAATCACTCAAACTTCTAGTAGTAGATAATGAAGGCGCATACAGTGATTCTCATCGTCTTTTAAGTTTAATTTTTAATTTTTTGATTTGTGCGTTCTAACACATTGAAAAAAATGTATTACAACATATAGTTGGCACCATCCATAGATGACATATTCATAAAATGCTTTTGGAGAGGCGTAACGTACAAATGCAAAGATATCCTGCGGTTTCAACGTACCGAAGAAGGGTTTTGTTATTCATTCAACAGCCAAACTGCTGAGAGGAGTACAAGGTAGGTACCACTAGGTACCTAAATTATACAATATGCAGGCTACAAGTTACAATTAAAGGCGGTGCACTGTAAGTTATACATACATATTGGTAATTATTAACTTCATAATAGGCAACTTTGTTCACTCCCAATCTCTTGGAGGCCTTTTTTCTCGATGTATTAAATGATTTACAACTTCTTTATAATTATTATTATCATCATGATCATCATAATTACATCGTCGCCGTTGTCATATTCCCTAGCAGCTACTTTTTTTAAAATTATTGTTATGTGAATTTTTTCTCTTATAGCCATTACAACACAACAATAAACAACAATAAATAAAGCTAATATAGCTACGCAAAGTCTTTATTATTATTATTGGTATTAAAAGTCAAGAGCACTCTAGCTAGTGAATTTTTTGTGTATAGATGATTCAAGAGTGTATAACCATCAAAATTAGTGACGAGTTGTGCTATCACCGAAATTCAAAGTTGTCTCATAAATCTGAGATTTGTCCATAAGTTCACATTTCTTCTTTAGTGATACTGGTAGTTTGTACTGCTGTTTTTGGTTTGGTCATTTTTTTCAATGAATTTTCCAGATATTGGGATTGGGTGCCATGATTGTGCTAACTACTAAGTATAAGTCCTCCAGCACCCATAGTGGGTTGTGTAAGAGGCTGTCATGGTCGTCTAGTTATGTCACTCATCGGTCCTATCAGTCTTTCACCTTATCGTTTAAGCTTTAAAGTAGGTATGTCACAATTTATTGTATTTATACACTTGTGGAAATTTCACCAGACCGACTCGACCACAGTTCTATCGTCTTTATCAATGAGTTGTATAATACTATTTCCCTAATGTTCAGTGAATTCCATTCCTCTGCGTCGTCAACGTACGTTTAAGGTTGCCTATCCACGCCAAGTCAAGTCTATATGTAGAAATATCAAGCGTGTGATTGTCTACCCAGATATTAATAGGTGCTAATCTTGGAACAATTAAATCACCAATTAATGACATTGATAATATCAACGGACAACGATTAGTCCTTTTTGTATTCCATCGTTTGCTCACAAACAATAACAATTATTATAGTAACGAAAGTAATTTTAATCCACCGTTTGTTGGGTCGGATGGAGTACTCATTCCACTTCGAAACAACGCCGCAGGCAAAGAGACCGGACTAAAATTAATCATGAGCAACATGAGCCACGAATTTTTTCCCACTGACAATCGCAGGAGAGGCTTTTACGTAAGTTGGAATACGTGTATTCTATATTTGAGTACCTTCATGACACAGAATATTCAATTTATATTTGGTTATAAATGTTGTATGAAATAATTAAGACATTATATTTTTCTTGAACAATTAATCACTTTTGACCTACTATGTAAAATATAAATAATACCATTTAGCTCGATGGTAAACTATCACAATTTAATATTTAAAATAAACAGTAGAAGGTTGGCACAACATTGAAAAAACTGCCTAATGCACAATATAAAAACAATTGTCCGGTGGCTCAATATAGGTATAAGTTATAGCATATAACAAACAATTTGGTCTATAATAGAATAATACTTTTTTCCACCTCGTGGCGTAGTATAATATATAAAAAACAATGGCTTATAAGTTATAATAGGCACTTATAGGCCGGTAAAACAATTGCACAAATCTATAGAGTGATTTTTTAAGCATACTATCCCTATTTTTATGTTTAAATTAAACATAAATTCAAATTCTGATTTTTGGAACTTTTAAATATAGGTACCAGTGCCGCGTTGAAAGTTTGAATTGAAAAATGTTTCAAACTAAACCTAAATTTTGATTAAATCTTGTTGTATTTTATTTAGTAAAGAAGTTATCTGATATCTGTGTCAGTATTATCCTTACTTCTTATATAGTTCTATTCAATATTCATAATAATAGCAAATCATCCCTTAAATTTGTACCTATACGTACAAATAACATATTTTATTCATTAAAAATGACATACTTTTCATAAAACAATAATGTTCGTTAGGTGAGTGAATATTATAATCTACGCCATAAACATATTAATGGTAACAAGCTAAACAACCGTTTCCCCTAAATAAGTTCTGTATTTGCGCAATTATTTTGTGCGCGCTTTACCTTAGTAATATTGGTAGTTGTAAGTTGACTTTTAAACAGGGCCGGAATAATGAAGGTGTATAAAGAGCTTTCTTCACTGTAATTTTTCCGAACAGGTGATGGTACACCCTCCAGATGGCTTTCCAGACGTGGCGACCGCCTACAAGATTCACGCCGTACGCGATCGCATCACTCTGATATCGGTGAGCGCGGCCCAAGTAGAAGCAGACGAATCGCTCGACCGTCTTGACAGTTGGAACAGCCAGTGTTACTTGTACAAAGCAAAGGCGAAGAATCTCAGCTCATTGCTTCACAAGAGCAGCAATGAGGACACGTGTTTCATCAAGTGTAGGATGAGGGCCATCTACAAGGCGTGCAACTGCACACAGTACTTTTTCAAATTGTTCAAAGGTGTGGCGAGTCGTTACAATTTTTAAAGTTAAAATCATAAAAACATATCTATATATACAGTCTACAGACGCACCACTCCTATTAATTTATTTTTTAAACCTATACAGTCTATAGCTGAGTCCCAAGAATACTGAATTATCTTAAGTTTAAATACAGTAAAAATGATATTACATAAGTGTATTAAGTAAGACAATGAACATTTTAATTATTAATCGTTATATAATATTCCTAATTCCTATATCATATCATATTAATGTTTTAAACTGGACAAATCTTTACACACTTATCAAGGTTATAGAACAGTTTAAACAAGTAGTTACTGCTAGGTTATTTAATACATGCTTGTTAATAATTTTTATAAAAATTTAAATTTTACATTCGTATAGTGTATTTAATATGCACTCAAATGTCGAGTTTTTTCCTGTCAGTCATCAGCATTTGTGGTAGTAAAAATACTCCGGTCTTTTGACATAAGCATCTTTTCTGGAAGAAAAGTGAATCTAGTTTTTACTTTTGAAAGATCAAAATTGAAAATTCTCAGTAGTGTTATAAAGCGTCTTAGCTTTGATAAAGAAAAAAAGATTTACACGAAACCAATCTATGAAAAAATATATTTAATTTTTTTGGTGTAACTCAATTACCCAAGAACTAATAACCGTTAACACATGAATTTTACACCAAATATATTAGCATAAAATATTAGCATTTTTAATTTATGTTAATATTTTCAAAATATTTTGACCATTTTTAAGCTAATTATGGCCTTAAGAAATTGTTCATATTTTGTAAATTTTTTTTTAAATTAATCTTGATAAAAACTTTATCACTAAGTAAAATAGCTTGAATATATAATCCAAGGTTCCTTATAAGTTTCATTAATGAAAGTTCAAAAATATTGAAGATAGGTACTAGGTAAGCACTACTATTTTTTATATGCGTTTAGAGTTAAAATGTTGACAAAATTCATCAAAATCTCGATAAATTTCAAATTATTTTTCTGTCGAAATTCTATAAAATTTTTATTTTCTATAGATGACATTAGACATTTTAATAGAAGATGCCCTACAATTTTTTTACCTTTAATAAAAAAAATATTACAGGAAAGTAAAGTTAATTTTTTATGAAAGTTTGAGTTTAACATTTTTACAATATTTGATTTTCACCTGTAAATTGACGGATTGTCATCTATCGGTTTTATGATGTATAGCTGTAACTCAAAAACAAAAATCAAACTAGTTTGATTCTTATTGAGCTTTTTATAGCCATGAGAAAATATTCAAATTTTGTAAATTATTTTATCGATGGATTATTTTCAGATAGAACTTAACTAAAGTTTATCTTTTCATAACTAACATTTAAAATGTTAATTGAATGTTCCCTAAAAGTCTATTTAACTTTAACGAAAAAAAAGATTACTAAAGCGTAACGTCCGTTAGCAGAAGTAGAATATTTGTAATGAGGGTCATAATTATAAATATTAATGTGAAACTTCTTTACAGAGTTTAAGAAAAAACCCGTTCGGTGGCCATTATAGTCGGTTACCACGACGCGAGAGGTGGCGTCATAGTTATGCCGCATTGGTTTATCCAAAATTTAAAGATTCAAAACTATTATACCGTTTTAGATAAAAAGTTATATCAATTAATTCCTTAAGATATTGATGGTGTTTATAGTTATATTAATAACTGTTATAGAAGTAATCCTATACCAAAGTAGCTAAAATGGTAGACATGAATTTTTTTCAGCTCACAAAAAAGAAGATTTTTTTGTTCATTTATTGGGCTGCCATCGAGGGTACACTATATGACTTGGTATTATATTATAATTTTCTGTAATATATTATATCATACATTTTTTTACAAATGTATACTTATAAAAAAAAAACAAACCTTTAACATGGTATTTCCGGGCGTTACAGTTATTAAAGTATAAAATAAAATACATATTCCTTTACAGTTTAATATTTGTATTAATTTGATATTACATAGTTTGAGGGAGCTGGGGGCGGGGTGTCAAAACCCCCTAATACCATCATTGGATACGTAACTCGTTCGTATATACCCCTAAACTCGGGTAAATCGTAAGTTACGCGGTAATCGTATTCAGATCTGATTTAAAAAAATAGCATGATACAATGTCTAAATATAAATAACTGAAAATTAAGCAACCAACAACAAATATACACTGAAAATGTATTAAAATAAAAAAAATAGAATTAGTTTATACTTTTCAATGTCTTGATTGCCGATTACGACCGCCTTCCGTCCCTTACGCTTATAGTTTATACGAACGCCCCTACAGAGCCCCGGTTGCGGAGAGATACTATCTATTTTAGGCGTTTTTATTAAAAAAATCTAAAATAATACCTAGTATAAAACGTATTAAAGACCTTAGCCTACTTATTAGTTACTTGTTATGTAAATTAATAATTAATATTTGTATGGTTGACGTTTTGTATAGGTCTCGGAAGCCATTGTGGAATCGAACACATACCTTGTTTGATTGCGAACGATAGTAAGTGCATGAATCTTACGACATTATCAAGTATCAACTTTTAATAACTATAGGTTTATTGTATGGACTTGATCATGTTACAACCCAATCTATTTTAATCAAACGATTAAGACATTAATTCTAAAGGCTTAAGTCCAAATGCATAACGATAACTTACCTAGGTTTATATGAAGTTTCACTGGTAATATGATATGGGAAATACATGTTAATAAGTCAAGTCACTTTTGGATATTATAAAATATGTATTATATTAAGCAATGCATTGTCAATAAAATAAACATGTGATTTTGCATTTAAAAAATAAAATACTTATATCTAAACTTATTGTTTAGTATTTTTTCCTGATAATGTAATAAACATTGAATTTATTTGTCGATTATATTTTATATATTTAGTTCCATAGAAAATATTTAGGTACCTAAAAATTACGTTATAAATTACAGTATACTGTAAGTACTTAGTATAGGTACTTATGATGAAATTCAATACAATAATCACAATCTATTATTATCAAAACCTATACCTATTTGAATATTTGATAATAATTACTAAAAATGTAATATCAATATAATATTATAATCTATAATGGCACACTACAGTAACGATATTGTTCATTATTTAGTACTTCAACGCAACCCCAAAACCACGGAAGATGAACCAGGGTTTCCCGAATGGAGCGTACCATTTTCCATGAATTGCAGTTGTAGACCGCCTTGTTCGTTTATTACGTATACAACCGAGCTCCGGTATGAAATTAGGTAATACCTATCATCGATGTGCTTTAATATTTAATTATTATTAATAATTCATAATAATTTAGGTGATATGTTATAAGTTATAAGCATTTACACACCTTAGACACCTTAGTATGTACGCACGTTTGAATATTATCCACAATGATTATTGCATAGTAAATATTTTGTGTAGGTAAATAATAAAATACCTATATATGTTTAAAAATAAATTAAATTGCCCAATACAATATACGTAGATATCTACCTATAATAATTATTATTTTGGGGAGACTAACAAAAAAATTAATAGTGAGCTCAAATAAACATTGTTCAGTGTATATATATACACTATACAGTATAGTATACGGTAAGTAAATACAGTGAAAAAACATAACCTATATAGAAAAATATGCATTTTAAGATTTATAAGAACCTCATGCTATATAAAAAGGTCATAAGTGTACTAAAAAGTAATTTTGGTTGGATTCAAAGGTCTAATTACGTTTTGTTATATTAATACGTACTATCTATATAATAATGAAAAACATGGTTCATATTAATATAATATCATAACATTGTGACGGAAACTATGATATATTCCCTACGGCGAAAGTTTTATTATACGATATTAGGTGTAATTATTACAACCATAAAACATTTTAATATTTTACTAAAAATCATTTTAGTCTTAAGAGCAGAAGTGTATTAAGGAATTGCTTAAGGGAGAGAATAAGAAGTTTAAGTAAGTTAAAGTTCCAGATACTTTATTACCTCATAACTAAACATCGTGTTAATATTCTCACTGAAAAATCAGACCTTCATATTTTACTATTATGGGTGTTGTATGCCATTTCACTCTCCATAGCCCCTGCAAGTCCACATTACCTAAACTATGTATTTCATTATGCGTGGACCCGGTATATCACTAAATAAAACTCTCTTATACAGACGTAAATCTAAACAATATAACTTAATTTTTTTAGACAATTAATTAATGAAGAACCGTCGTCCTCGAGATACAACGTATTCCTAGAAGTAAATTACAGAGAACTGTATGCTACAAGCTATCGTCGGTCCATGAGATATACCACTCAAGATTTGTTGGGTATGTATTCTAGTAGGTAAACTATAATAGATACCGTAATATTTTTAATTTTTTTTTGTGCTAAGAAATCACATCTTAAATAGTTTCAGAACTATTTGATGCATTCTCCTTACGCTTTTGGAGAACTATAAAGTTGACAATTTCAAAAGAGGTTTTTACTTATTCCTTACAGTTAATACTAAACCATTTAAATCTCCTATCTTTAAAGAAATGAAGATAAAATAAAGTCTGAGTAAATTCGTCTGTAAATATTCCGATATTTGATTGGTATAAAATGTGGAATACATAATATATAAGTTCAAGAATCATGTATAATAATTTTGAAATAAACATAAACGTCTGGTACTTTTTAAAATTAAATTTAGCACTAAAAGTTTTTAACTAATTGTGTTAGACTGAAGTTTCGTAATCAGTATTTCGTATATGACATTATAATAACAAACATTTTTATGTTCAACAGTGTCGTTTGGTGGAGTAGCCAGTCTGTTTCTGGGTTGCAGCCTAGTCAGTATAGTGGAAATCCTTTACGTCATCTACAAGTCAGCCTTGGTGTTTGCGAAAAAACTCTACAACAACTACCAGTTAAACAATGACCCAGCTTGACGAGATGCAACTGTTCCATACAAGCGATCTTAATTATTAAGACTTGAAATTATACGCACTAAAAAATAACCATCTATATGCACCAAAGATTTGCAAATATGCTCGTAAAAGATATGTTTTAAGAAACAATCATGATTTTGGTTTTAAATTAATATAAATTGGAACTTACACAGTGTGAATCGTTTAATTGTACAATATATAGACTATAGAGACATAAAGCGCATTTTATTTATATTGTCCAGTTTTCTGATTTATTTTATTTTTAATAAACGGGTAAGGACCCTTTAGAAGATTTTGATAATAGTACAGTGTAATTAATAAGTTATAATTCGAAACTTACAAATAGACAATAGTAGTGAATACTTAATATGATACATATACATTTTCATCAAAAAAAAAAAAATAAGAAACAAATGTTGAAACTAGAACAATTAAAATACAGTTACAAGACAAAATAACAAAAAAGAAAAACATGATACAGAGAAGATACAAATAAAAAGAAGAAATTAATTGATCAAATTAAAAATTAATTTACAGCAGAACTTAATGCTATATAAACATTATATTTGAAAACTGCGTGACATAAAAAAAATGTCGATTTTATTAGCAACACTTTTAGCCAGAGTAAGTACTCTGGGAAAAAATGCGGAACTATAGTTGGTGGTATGAGATGGGACTACGAATAGATTTTGTGACCTCGTACATTTTAAAGTAAAAAGGTATAGAGTATAGACGTTATAGTTGTGTATAATATATACAATATGATAATTGATAATATTATGCTGGTCTATACTTGAAGACTATAATACAATACAATATTATGAATTATAGTGCGCTTGCATCGGCCAGTCCCTTACGTTGTTCGTAATCGTACATATAAATTAGAAACTAGGAAGACACTTTCACTCTTTATGTGATTTACTTAAAATAAAAATAGATAAACTTTTTTTAAACTGAGTTAAGTTAATTTTTTTTTCTATATTAACTTTTAACTTATCGAGTTAAGTTTATAATTTGTTAACAGTTAACTTTTAACTTATCGATCTTGAGTTAATTATTTTCATTAACTTGCCCACCTTTGCCATTCAGTAAGTTATATAAAAACATCAAGTCTGCGACACTCTTCTGATTTCATATAGAGGCACACCCAGATGGATTAACTGAAATTGATATGAGTCTCGGTCAA